TTTTTTTTTTTTTTTTTTTTTTGGAGGATGACAATACTTCCTCTCTACCCTATGGGAGCGAGAAAGTAAAAATGTTCGCAGCGGTTTTCTCATAAATCATAATAATGCATTTGATAATAAAAAAATAAATTAACTAGTCTTTAATACATCAGTAGTGAGAAAGTGTGGAAGATTGAACTTGAAGCCGGACCTCTCAGGCTCGGGTTTGGAGAACTAGGGCTTAAAATATTATTCATATTGGAAGTTTTGGTTGCATTTATTCGTAACTTACCTCCATGTACATAATTATGAAAATACAAAATAAAAAGTTAACTTTATAAAAATGTATTTACAGATACTGAAAGCTAGATTGTGCACGTACCTACACAGACAAACGCGCCATCAAAAGGCCAGCCTGACCCACGGCATTCAAACATGATATACATATATTTTCAGAGGGAAGAGCTCACATGTCTCCATAATCACATAATCTGTGAACTGAGATTATATTGACGTGGAAATCTCTCGAAAGGCACACGAGCTGTCAATTAAAATGTTCCTCCTTTTGTTTTTCATCCTTGTCGTGGATGCATTCGATGAGTGGGCCTGTCCAATTTTACGAAATAATTGTTTTCTAAAGTTTCCTCATTTCTTCTACACTACATGGGTGTCATTGTCTTCTAGACTTTTCACCCATCGTACTCGAAAAAAATTGCATGCGATAGGGTCTCCTAGTTTGTACTTCGCAGCAAACTTCTTGTGCGACCACTTTCCTCGAGCCTTATCATCACGACTGAAATCAAGCGAACATAGATGTTTCGATCAGACATACAGTTTGGCACAATTCGACATACCTATACGTTTGAATGTGACCCTTTCCAAGCAAAATTGGAGCAACATGTTGTCATGGTATGATTGAATACTGTGCAGCTACTTGAAAAAACTCTCTTTACAAAAGGAAAACTTTTTTATTCAGATGACGATGCTACTTTATGCTATCATGACAAAATCCATTACGCAAGAGTTTGTAATTTAACTTAAGGTGTTGTATTGTTCTTAACACTTGATAAGTAATCAAATACTAGCTGAAATACGATTTTGTTTATGTAAAAAAATTAGACTTTCTTACATGTCGAAAATAGGATTTTTCTTCTCCTCAAATTCGATCTTAGATCCATTTGGTTGAAGGTATAGAAGCACCACATATCGGTGAATACCTGCAAAGAGATGGCAGAAAATATAAATGATTTGGAACACTTTTCGGACAGATCAAACGCAACACATTTCGCGGGGTTGTAAGGCGGAGAATGGTCGAGTACATTCTTGTGTCTCATGAAAGTATTATGCAATCGGATGATATTAACATTTCAGATGAGGCAAATTCATGGAAAGATCAATGGTGTTCACCTCTATTATGGGTCGTAAGATGTGTAAGATAAACTGCATGTATGTACACAAAAAATATTACTCCAGGGCTTGGTCCTAGAGTGGAACATATACAACCTAGATATTTGGTAGGTATCAGCCGTAGACACTAAGCACTAGGCAAGCCGGGGAGCAAGCCGAAATCCAGGTATGATGTTCAGTTGCTCACTTGACTAAACATATAATTTCTCTACGCCATGGTACAAGACCGGATTTCAGGATATTTCTAAGATAACTTATACTCGAATTTTTTCCTGGTGGATTTTCTCACTATGGCAAGTTTAATACAAAGTACTTGTTTTTAATTTTTCCACCGTCGAAAGTTAAGAAACAGTATCGGTGTTATTAAGTGTATAGTGTTTTAGCCATAAAAATGGCTGATTTTCATCTAGTTGGCGTAGGCAAGGGTGGCTTGCAAAATAAGAGTTGTGCTAGTAAACACCGAGCAAAGAGGTGATTAGAATTAGAGACTTAATTGACCTCAATTGATTAAATATGATTTTATTTGCGATTACATGAGTAAACGGAAGCTCTTACCTGAGCCTTTCGGTGGTTTTGGAGGTAAGTAATACGTCATTACGTCACCAAATCTAATGCTATATTCAGGTATATTTCCCACGAGCCAAAATTGCCACTCTCGTAAAGTATGATTTTCTTTGGTTGGTTCGTCTAAACCTGGATAAAAAAGAATATGATGTCAAATTTGCTTACATTTTGCACATTTATTTAAGTTACACAAGATTTTTAATTTTTGATAGTATATTAGATGCCTCCTTGAGAATTTGAAAATAATTATTTGGATGCCAAATTGGTCCCTTGTTTTTCCGGGGACCTTTAAAAAACGATTGCGATCACAGCTGTGATTACATAAAAAGTATCTGCATAATATAATTATGCAAATAATGTAGATATGAATTTACACTGTGCCACATTCAAAGTTTAAGATAAGCAAGTAAGAGTTTTAACATGAAATACCGGTCTTCCTAGCGTGCTCGAGGAAAAAATCGCTGTGCCTCTGACAAACAGCGATAAGTAAAATGGTTTTAATCCGCTTCGTCTGGAATACTTATTCCCTAAACAAGTAACTTAAATATCAAAACATGGACGGAGTGCAACACAGACTATTATGATTTGGACGTATTTGAATCAAAAGGAACTATGCACATTTGGACATGAGTTCTTTAATGCTTGTATTCTTATGAGCCTTGCGGCCCACGTCCCAATACGTATAGTTTGTTTTGTTTAAATGTGTCCATTTTATCCTCTATGCAAAGTATATCAAATGTATAGCGTATTTTTTTCAGCAGATGCAGATTTCTGCCCTTGCCTCTCGCTATGTCGATGGTCAGTCATTCACTTGCCCATTATTTCTATTTAGTAGTAGACCCCCTAAATTCCCCCTTCTTTGATTTATTATTGTGTTTACTTAAATACTGGTCACGTTTGGCTTCTTTGAAACATATTTCACATATTTTCTAGTAGGACAGGCACACGGTTGAACGTAGTACTTGCACTTCAGAGGAATTACCTTTAAGGAAAGGATTTACCTTTTAAGAGAATGTAAAACAGCAGTCGAATGGCCAATTTCTCGGGCGACTTACCAATCATCATTATAGTAAAATACGTCGATTCATCTGCATCCCATTTGACCCAATCAGGTTCCCTTAAGACATTTAATGGCTCTAAGATATTTCCAAAAACAGCCATAGGTCCCTCAAACCATTCAAGCTAGAACACATAAAAATTGATTTAAGGCTTTTAATATAGAATTCTTAACTTACCAAATAACATGAAAGTGTAGTGTAGTGTCTCAGTAAAACTAAACTCCCACTTAACCCAATGGGGTCTTGTTAGAACGTCCAATGAGTTTAATATATTTCCATAGACCGCTTTAGCTCCGTGAATCCATTCTACCTGAAATTATGGATTAAGAATACATCTCTAAGTTCACATTGTGTGAATGATGGAAAAATATCACAAAATCTTATGTTTAAAATCAAGGCTTAGTCAAATATCTTTTACTAAACTAATGATTCTGTATTCAAACATTATTAAAAATGAATGAATTGGTAAATACAAGTTTGAACGGTGTATCTTTAAAACAATTATGTTTTTTGGTCGTTAGCCTGGGTTGCCCTTTTTTGGTGTCATTTAATTGAATTATTTGGGCTATTTATGTGTATCATTGTAATACATGAATGGACATGTATATTTGATCCGGACCTCATTTAACAGCGAGAAGCCCTGTGCTTTTTGGAAAAAATGGTTCCAAAGCATAGCCATAGTTGCATATTTCTCCCCGTCGTAAATTGAAAATCGAATACAATTTTTTTGATGACTAATTTGGTTTAATATAGGCTGTGATGATTTTGCGTACCTTGGTGTAAGGCAGAGATACATACATTCATATACTTCCAATCGCCCAACTACAGAGCAAGCATCCCCATAAGAGGCAATCATAAACCAATGTATAGATTTTTACCAGGATTCCTTTTTCAGGTGCGATGTCCAGTGCATCCGGGATTATTTTATGTTCTTCTAGAGCGGCTTTAATTTTTTTAGGTGAGTAATTCAAGGGATGATCCGTAACAGCTACTTCATCATTACTAACAAACAGTGGTGCTGAGATAAAAATATATAAAGCCAGATATAGCGACCCGTCATGACGGCCTATCCAAGGTTTTTGCGGCATGTCCACAAATAAAATTCCTTCCAATTTAATACTGAAATTACGAAAGATCATTCCAGGTAATTTCTGTTCAAACTGGTGTAACCCTTGATGTTTTAATTGATCAGGTAATAATTAGTGTATCTAAGCGTAGTGATTAGGTTATGATTTATCTGTTTAGCAAAAACTAAGTGTCACAAGAAAGAAAAAAAAAACTACTACGAGTCGTTCCTTTAATGTTGCTTTAGAAGAGTGGCAATGCCATCATTTGCTTGTGAAGTCTCTCCGGTTTCCTAAGCTACTTTATTTTTGAGCGCCTATTTACCCCGCAACGGCACAAACTTCGCATCAAAGGAATGCATTTTTGAGTAGAGAAATTGATTTTTTACTATTAAAAAATGTTCACTATTTTCTAGTGGTGCGGTACACTAAGTCACCTTAATAGATTATCAAGACAGATTATCTCCAGTGGTGTGGCAATTGTGGCATGGTTTGCGGTACATCGATTGCTCTGCCATTTAAACCTATCGAAAATGATCGATAAACAGGGTGTTCGCAACGATCACCTCAATAGTCGATTCATTACCGTAGCCTTAAATGGAGAAAATTATTTCATCCGTAAATGTAAAGTTTCCATGATTCAATGGGTAGGTAAGTTTCAGATGCTGAATCGACGCAAGAATATATATTTTCGGGTTCGTGCTCCGTCCTAAGAGAGAGATTAATACGATTCTTGAGAGAAATTTTTTTAAAGAAAATCAGGAAAAAAAAGATATTGTATGACAAAAGTGTAACAGATAGATAAGCGTGAAATTAACTTTGGGGCTTTAATTTTCATACGGGACACACGACCGATAGATGCAAGTTTACGGATAGGGATGACAAGAGAGGGGTCAAAAAGAGCATAGAGATGATATTTTAGGTGAAAGCTTAGGAGAGAATAATAAGAAGTGAGCAGAGAATAATATAGAGTCAACAAGCTTGTTCAAGTTTAGAAAGTTCCAAGAGGATACTTCTTCAAATTGATACAAGCATACGGGTCTGGAGACTTAAACGCAGCGTTAGAAAAGTAAGAAATCATTGATATTGTGTTTCCATGGATGGCCGAGGCCCAAGTACCTTTAATATCCTTGACTGTTGGATCTTGGACAAGTAAAAAAGAAGAAATTCTCGATGAAAATTTAAACAATTCAATCTTTAACATTAAAAACAACAACATTTTACAATTGGAAGCTAAGATCCAAGTCGCGTCAACTGCTCTACCGTTTCCTTTTTCACTTGTCGTGTCACTTGGATCGACTTGTCCTAGGGAATAATGTTCTTGGCAACGAAGAAGGCAACGTCGGCTTGGGCGTCCACTCAGTTTGGAAGAAATTCACGGCAATAGGATCACCAAAATGATACTTCTCGGCAAAACGGCGGTTCGAAAAATTTGCCCGTCGATTATCAGAGTACCTGTTCAAAAAGAATAAGCATTCCCACTTGTTGGTGTGCACCAAGTGGATTGTATTTTGAAGAAAGAAACCAAGGGCATTCCAATGTTGCTAAGATTGTGAATAATTTTTGTAATCAACTTGTTTTTATACCTTTCAAATATGAACTGATCATCTAAACTTATCATTATTCCAGACAGATCATAAATTCAAGATGAAAATCACCTTCATAAATGTAATTGTTTCACTGGAAAAAAACACATTGGATCTAGAGTCCAGACTTTTAAAAACATTGACAAGAATTATTACAAGGTTTTCTTACGGAGATTTAATGCGTTTTTCTGTGAACGTCAACTTCTCAGGTTGCTTGTAAACAACAATGCCATGCCGATGTATGCCTGAAAATAAATGGCTATTAGTCAATAACCAATAAATAATCTCGAGTTGAAAGAGAAATGTTGCAATACAAGAGGAAGTTTGAAAAAATCAACTAGATTTGCAGCAGAAGTGCAATTTTGAGGGCTATGGATTTATGAAAGGAGGCTACAAAGAGATAAACATTCAGTCATGACGTTTTATGTAGCTAGGATTGTAAGGATCAAATTCACCCAATGATTGCGGCAGGTGTGGAAAATCAAACTTTTAGGTTATGCTGTTTTGAACCGCAGAGAGAAAAGTTCATCTTCTTTTTTAGCAGCATTTGAATTTCCGTCGAAATCTTTGCATTACCTATCGTCAATGAAAATTAATTGCCGCTGACAAATATAGTCCACTCATCCATCCCGGTATCATCCTATAGTGAAACGGAAGTCCCAAGATAAAGAGGTATCTCCATTATAAAAAAAATAAAAAAGATAGAATTTCATGACATGAACCCATTTATTTAAAATAAATCTATCGACTTGAAAATACTTTGTAAATGTGCATTTTTCGCGCAGGAGGGTCGCTGATTTATGTTGGCTCATCGCTGTTTTCGTTTCATTGTTGATTACATGTGTTGGTTTACGAGTATATGTTTTCCAAACCTGTGTCTTTAGCTGGTTCTGGTCCCTTGTAAAAAGCAAGTTCCTGTCCCTTATGATAGTTATTTCCTGGTACATTGACAACCAACCAATGTAAATACTCACGAAGGATTGGCTCTTTGTAAGATGGCTCATCAAGACCTATATTAGCAAAAGAAGGGAAATGCATCGTAAAAAAGCAACGCATTGTCATGCATCGCCATAAATTAGATTTATTTTGAGCAATGAGGCAAACCTCTGGTCATGTAGTGCAAGATACCCAAGGAAAACGTACTGGACTCTTAGATTTTATATAAATATTTTCTACAATATTGAGATATATTTATTAAGACGTATCAGGGCGAATTCAGTCTGTTTACAATGTATTTTCTAAGCACGGATCAAAGTTTCACTAACTATCAATATATATAGATAGGAAAAAACAGTGGCCTTCACGTTTCCGTCCTAATATTTTAATACAATCATAAGATCAACCCAAAGTAACAAATCAGAATGCATTAACATGAACAGGTAAATCTTATCCTTAAACCAACTTTTCAAATATCAACTCAAGGCGGAACTCTCGAAAAAAACCGTGACTTCATACCGAGACTATAGTCTTTAGAGACATCTGTTAACAGGAGACGCATATCTTTGTTTTATTCAGTAATATACACAAACTGTACCAACCTGCTACGATTAAGGTATGCCATTCTGTTTCATTGCCTCCGTAGTATACCCAATATGGATGGAAATCAGCCACATCATTTGGAATCAGATTCCCAAGGTCAGCGGAGTGCCTTTCTACCCACTCGACCTGCAGATTAAACATTTAATTTGATTCTAAATGAATTATGGATTTGGACAAGAAGTTGCAGCTCCTACTTTTTTATGCTCTCAGGAACAAAATGTCAACGGTATTGTGATAATATCAACGGCCATCGGGCATTTCAGCTAGCACGCCAAAGTGCCTTTCATTTTTCCGCTGTATGCTATAGTTACATCTAATTGTAAGAGGTACGCGATCCGTGACGAAAGAGAAAAAGGAAGGAACAAAACAACAAACCACGATAATTTCCTAGTAGCAGTATTGTAAAACTCTCTTCAAGTCTTGTAAATTTTAAGTAAAAGAATCTTTATAAAACTGTTAAAAATTACAAAGAAGGAAACTCTTTTGTCATGAGAACGGAGTTTCCCATGATATTAGAATCGTTCCGTTGCTTTCGCTATGGGATTCCCTATACCTCTGCGACCTTGAGCGTTTCGCCCAGTCTCCGATTTTTGGTTGATTTTCCGATGTATCAAAAACCGTTGTGTTTTTTAGCCAATCATGTCTCTACGTCAAGTTGTGTTGATTGCTAAAATTCGCTTTCAGCGAGTTTTTTTCCANTCCGATTTTTAGGTTATGTTGTCAGTTATAGTTGACCGGAAATAGCCGCGAGTTGCCGTTGATTGTTTCCGTTAGAAAACTGCCCACAGACGCGGGAAATTTGAAAAAGCGCGTTCCTAACAACACAAATTGCGCAGTAAGGAGTGTATTTCAGACTTTTTTAATGTGACCATCGTAATTTTCGTGTCATTTAACATCTGAAAAGTCTATTCGCACGGCTGTATCTCTTGCATGCAACAGGCCCATTGAAACCATGAAACACAGCGTTGCCAATTTGGCAGCCATTTCCATGACCGCTGACGAGTGATGATTATACTTATTTAAAGATCTTCAAAATTGTACGTGGGTACATAACGACGACGAAGAATTGACGGTGTAATAATAACTCTTGGAATTTATAAAAAAAACAAAAAAAAAAAAAACATTGTTTCACGGTCGTTTGTTAACATTAAATTAGCTGTTTAAACTATGACAAAAATAGATACCCTAATTTTTCTGCAGAGTGGTTTATTTGCAACTTGATCATCTTTAGTTCCCGAATATTGCTAGAAAAAATATTCAAAACTTTCCTCATAATAACTATTTTATTTAGAAAAATTTGGCAACATTCAAAAGCTCATAGGTACTGTGTTCCTCCACAGCGCGGCATTAAATTCATTCCAATTTTTTTGTCATGGGAACGGAGTTCCCCATGATATTAGAATCGTTCCGTTGCTATCGCTATGGGATTCCCTATACCTCTGCGACCTTGAGCGTTTCGCCCAGTCTCCGATTTTTGGTTGATTTTCCGATGTATCAAAAACCGTTGTATTTTTTAGGCAATCATGTCTCTACGTCAAGTTGTGTTGATTGCTAAAATTCGCTTTCAGCGAGTTTTTTGCCACCTCGAGATGTCGTGTCTGACTGGTAAATCTGCGCAGAACCACGAAGTTCCGTTTTTAGGCAAATTCTTTTTTTTGGGAGATTCTGATTGGTTATTTTTCGCCATCAGTTTTCTGTTCGTTGGTGCAAAAGATCGCCTACCTCGGTGTTCTTGAGAAGCCGCCATTATCCCACCTCAAATTTGAAAAATAGAAGTAAAGAAATAATAACCATCGTACAAGGTGGAAAATTGTTCTGGAGGACTCGTTACGGATAAAGAAGTCAAAATCAGAGCTCGATTGATTGATTTAATTCATGGATACGCAAATATTGCCTTAGCTCAACTGCCGCGATCGGAATGCGTGCTGATGGGATGGACCTCGAGATGCATTAAAACAGTGCGAACCATGGCTCTTACAGCAATGCGCTTCATATTCCAGAAGCAGTCAAGGTCTCTTGTGATAAGTCCCGCCCATTGCCCGAGTCTTTTAAATGCTATTTTTACTCCCGCCCACGTGGATCTGTCATAGCCTAGTTGACTAAACCGCCTCGTAGTTTTGATTCGGTGCGGGCACCCCGCGATCGGGAGTTCGATATCCGACGCGCGACGATGGAAATTACTTTTTAATGGTTGTATTGAATGTTTTAGACTAATCATCAAAAAATAATTAATAGTAGATGATAAATGTACGAACATTTTCTCGTGAGTTAATATGTTAAACAAAAATACTGGAATATACCTCCTTCATATAATCAGCCACATGTTCCCCCAAATTAATGACGTTATTTTCTTTTTTCAATAAAGTTAATTTGCATTCAACGTTCGTAAGTTAAGCAAAAAGTACCTATTGATACAAATAGAAAGACATGAAAATAGTATGTCTGACATTTCAGTTTTTTTTTTTTTTTTATTTATTTTTTGTTTTTTTGTTTTTTCAATAAAACAAATTGACTGGGACTAGAATCATCGTATCTCTGAAGACAAAAGCTAAGTTTTTTGATACAGAAATACTAATATATTCATCCTTTATATAATCAGGGAGATGTTGACCCAAATATTGATGTATATTTTCTCTGTTCGCCCAAATTAATGATGGTATTTTCTTTTTTCAATAAAATTAATTTACATTCCACGTTCTTAAAGCCATATTTTCTCCAAAATTCAGCAAAAAATAACAATTTATACCTACGCAAAAAGTAAATAAATAAATAAAGCAATGACATGAAAGTAGTATAGGTAGTATACATCTAACATTTCGGTTACATCTATTTGAATGAAAAAAATGGCAACTTAGGAAGCACATAGGTCACTTATCGACGGTGAAACTACCAAACCACGTATCTCGGTTTGCGACGTCGCAGACTTCCTGTCATACTTTATTTTTTAAATGAAAAGCTACTTAACGTCCAGTCTTGAAAATTTCCGTGATTGTTCCTCTTCGTGCGGAGAAAATTCTGTGAAAATTTCAAGGAATGATATTGATTTGGTCTACTTCAAAAAAATAAAATGTGAGCGGAGATTTTTAAACACCGCAAACGAGATACGTGGTTTGGTAGTTTCACCGTCGTTATGATGCGTATTCGGGCATATGCGTAGAGTAAAAATATCATACTTTACGCCGAAAAAACGAAACTGAAAGTTAAATGCGTTAACTTCCAAAAACCATACATAATCCAACGAAAATAAATAATTGGTAAATATCAGCTTTCTTGTATGCAAAGAAAAAAATTAAAAATGTTAAAAAAGAGATGTCTACACAAAATTACATAGCCCCTTCAATTCTGAAGATACTACAAACGAACTGTACCTTAAAATTTTCATATCCCAGAAGCAAAAGTTCCCATGACGAATATTGCTATCGCTAGCGATTGCAAAAACCAACTTGTTTAAGATTTATTTTAAAATAAAATTTACGTTAAAAAAACTCTTAAGACTAATACACTGGTTTTTGACACTTTTTTCGTAAATTTCACTTTGAAAAATTCTGTTGAAAAATCACGCTCTTAAAGGGTTTTTATCACTTGTTTTATTTAAATTTTGCCTCTCGTAAATTTTACGTGTAAAATCCTAAAAAGAGCTCCTTCTCCGTAAATTATGAAACAATTTTTAAAAGTTTTTTTTAAAACAAATTTTATCAGCCGTTGGTAATAGGGAGGAGGCTAAAAAATACATGAAGCAAAATTCCTGTACATTTTGGTTGGTGTAGCGATCCAGCTATTATCAGTCGGTATTCAAAAATGTAAGAACAAAAAAATTATCCTGAAATATTACACCCTAGCTACGGATCGAAAAAATAGATAACTACGTAGTACTACATTGTTCTTGTTTTGGTGCTGTCGATGTTTCGTTCTTTGGTTCTATGTCGAAATTTTGTAGGTTTGAGTTTCATTTCTTATTTTTCCCCTTTATTTGCCGAATGATCTCTACTTCTGAATAAAAGGAAAACCATGAAGATTTTTTTACGCACCCGAAACTTCATGACTTCCTCGTAGGAAAAAATAAATGTATAAGAACAGAAATATGTTGAACGGCACATGTTTGTCTATAACAACAATTCTGACCACAGAAAAATGCCAAGACGCTTCATGAAGTTTAAATTTACAATGTTTCCTTTAAGGTTATTTTTGAAGCAAGAGAAATATAGTTACCTTTCCTTTAACCATGACGCCATAGCGATGAAGCACTTTGCCGACTCGTTTTTGTTTTTTTGGGCATCTCATTTGACAACCCTATAAAATCGCCAATTTCGCAATCCTGAGCTTACCGTGCAAACAATAGACGGGGCATCATTGATGAAGTCGGGAATGATTTTATGTCGGAGAAGGTCGGCAGTGAGCTCTTCTCTTGGCTTGCAAATGTCACCGTTTCGTGTTGTTTTTGTCTCTTGCAACGTTGGGGCAGTGTCTGACGTGTCTGAGGGATTAGCATGACCCCGGTAAATGGCACATACGGCGAATAGGAGCGTGGCTGATGAGACACCAGAATCTATAGCGATAGTCCTCATGTCAAAATTATTCCCTACAATCCAGAGTATATTCCGTCATAAGTTGAAAAAACATTGGCCATTAAATTCTGTCTTGAGTTTTTGAGATTCAGTTCTAAAAAAACAAGCCAGTATCTGCAATTTCTACAATTCTCATGGATACTCTTTGAAATGTTTTTTTTTTTTTGCCTTCGTTAAGTTTTGTAATACAAATATTTCATAAATATAGTTAAGTCTTGCCTCACTCTCTAACGAGTCTGAACATATTGTGTGTGTATTGGTTCGAGGAGATTTTCCATGTGAAGTTTTCCTTCTACTCGCATTTTTATGTGGGCAACAAAACTTACCAACAAAAGCAAAAATTATTAAAACCCGTCAAGAGGCCAAATTTCTCATTATTCAACTTTAAAAGAGGTATTGCCTATCGAAAAATACGGCACATGGTGTCCTTCATAGTGATAATGTATACCATGGTTTCTTTCACGTTGATCTCAGCAAGCAGCGCAACACGTAAAAATAGCCTGGTTGCTAGATGGAGAACACGAATGAACTAAAGGTTCACGAAACCATGGTGTGCACAATTACGTTAAAGGACGTCATGCTACGTGTTTTTCGATACACCTCGCCTTCATTGTTGTTGGACATAGGAATTTGGCGTGTGGCCCGATCTTCTTATTTTTTGTTAATATATAAGCTTCATTCATTACGACAAGATTGCTATTTTGGATTTTTCAATTTTGAAAATTTGACAAAAAATTCGAGTTTCCTGTCAATAAAACACCATCTCGTTCCAAGTTTCACAAAAATTGATCTAACAACAGCCGAGCTAGTATATCATGCCACACTCGCCATCTTGGATTTACATTTTTTTAAAAATTTGATTAAGAATTCAAGTTTCCCGCCAAAATATATTCCAAAGGACAAACATTGACCAAACAGAACCAAATAGACCAAAGGAGTCAAGATTGCATTTTAGAACGACTGTCTTCGTCCTGACCTACCTCCTACTCCAGGTGGGATACGGTTTTCACTCCTGGCGCAGCACAAGATCAGCCGATTTAAATTTTTTATAATTGTTGATCACTATACACAGAGTTGAGAGTAATTTACTCGTCAGCACCACACGTTTGAGACTTATTTTAAAATTCCAGATTTTCCTTCATCTATTTAATGCAACTTATATCTTACACTGATAGCACCTCTTCGGTCATGTGAAAATATTAGGAAATTATAGTACCTGCAGCGTCAGTTTTGGAGCTTTATCCAAAGAGACCTGGTTCCTTATTAATATTTTTTATATCTTATGCGAATATAATTTGTTCGATATAACCGAGCGAATGATCTCTAAAGATGCAAAAAGGAGGATGAGTCGATTAATCTTCTTTGTACTTCTTTTCAGATTTCAACTACTCTGAAACACCAAGATTGGCTCATTTTAGGTAATGTTTTTAGGAACTAGAAAAGCAGACTGTTCAACTTTATTTAAAAAATGTGACGCGCCGCGCAGGCGGCAGAAATTTTGGAGTGAGAAAAAATCTCATCTCCGTCCCACAATTTCTTGCCTATTATTTGTACAACAAACCATCAGTATTTTTTCAATCAAACAAAACTTTAAACTGTACAAGATGCTTACTACAGATAAGAAACCAATTGAACTTCAAAAACTCTGAATTTTTTCATATTTGCTTATCTTTCTCCTGATATTCTTTGAAAAACCTTCAAAAGTCTATAACACTATTTTTCTCTAAACCGGGCCTCTTGTTACTTGAAGTAACACTTCTCATTTAGGTTGATACAGTAAAATTTGACGGCATACGGTGCAAAATACAGAATTAATGAATGACACAGAGGTGAGCTCCCACACTTGACTATGGGTCAAGATGTACGATAAATTCAAATAAATGTTTGTAATCCTGCGGATTTAATACACAGTTATTTAATACACACTTTACACACAGCTCTGGTTTTCATCGTGGATAGATTAGGAGACCATAACTCTAGTCAGCGAGTGTGTCACCCGGTTTTTAGTTCCAGCTGCATCTCGGGTTTCTGTTTTTTCCGCCCGAAGTCCTGTTCGATAAGTGTGTATGTTTACATCAGCCAAAGTTGTGCTTACAATATATCGTGAACTCAAAATTGTATAGCTCCAATTGTAATATATTATTCGAGGTGAATCCTCCGAGCAGAAAAACAGTGCCAAGTTGCGTCTAAAAAGGAACAAGATCACCTCTGTCCGGCTTCCGATTCGGGTAAGGAACTGTTATTTTTTCAATGTTTGTTTAATATCACACGTGACTTGTATCCGCTTAACGTTCTCACATGGACAGCCAGGATAGGATGAGGAAGAACCCATGGTTTATAGCAACTTATATGTCTCGAATTTTTCATCTACAGGCCTCAACAATACCTGAAATTTCCAAACAGTGAGTCTCAAGAGAGTTTCTGCTTTCAGTAAGCATGCTGAATTTCAATTTAGAGGGTATCTGGCATTGTATGTACCTCTATTTTAGCAATTAACCGAATAATTATTCATAAATGTTTCGATTTCTTACCTCTTTCATGTCGAATCCTCACCTCTGTCTCGGTGAAATTTGGGACACAGGTGAATGGGACAGAGGTAAAAATTCTACTTGTTTTGACACCAAAACAGAAAAAGATATTGAATAATCGCCGAAACAACACGGAAACCTTGGAGGGATCAACATCACGTGTAATATAAAGCAAATATTTGTAAAACCTTTTCCAAGCGATGGCATCAATATTAATCTCAATGAGCCGTAGTTAGGTTGTAAGAAACGATTCAAAAATGAATAACAAAAGAAGTAAAAAGCACGAGGCACGCTATCTTTGGTTTTTCACCCAGATTTGTACATCAATCTTTCAGAGTCAAATAGTCCAATTTTGAGCGTTTTGTTGCGCGCACAACACGTTGCTGCACAGTAAAAGCACAAAATATAAAAGAAAAAATTAAAGTGCTTTAGAAATCATTAAATTTGACAAGGAACCAATTAAATATTTACAAAACACACCTTCTATTTTCCCTCAATACATATTTTTTTTCATCAATTTAGATGAGAATAATCTATACAGAGTGTGCGAACATTTCAAAATCATGAGTTGAAAAAGACTGGCTTCGCAACTTTAAACATTAAAGCCGAAGAGGGAAGCGGCGGCGTGCTGCCAGCGCAAACCGCACATTCGCGCCTACAAACCTAAGGGGATACTTCACGCATTGCGCAATGCTTGAAGTATCCCCTTAGGTTTGTAGGCGCCAATGCACGCTGCCCGCCAGCCCGCCAGCCCGCCAGCCCGCCAGCGTGCCACGGCGACTCAAGCTACTATTTCACAACAGAGGTGTTGCACATTAACACACGAAATTGAAGGCACTACAACATAATGTGAATGCCAACATATCAAGTATGCCGTGAAGGAGATTTTATTTTGAATCAAGAACAAAATCGCTGAATGTGAGGGGGTTTCTGCTCGATGTAAGTAACCTTTTGTTTTCATTTAAGCATCCTTTCTTCTTTAAACAACCATTATTTTCTTTATTGATTTAAAGGAAAATCTTTTCTGCGGTGAATTTGAGCATATTTCTATTTAAATCGAGTCACTTTTACTTTTAATGAAGTTCAAAAATCATGCTGAACGTTTAGTATGCAAAGATACTAGGACTTAGTAAGTTTTTCTCCCTCCGCTTCTTTTTTTTGTCGTCGTCACTCGATTTAATTTGCGAGGGAACTTCGTGCTTTTGATGCCATCAATCATGATATGTTGGGGTTGCTGAAGAAATGGCACGGTTTTTACGGAACTTGGAAGCCGGACCGAGTTGAGCATGTTTCTCCGCCGCGCCGTCTCAGTCCCTTCCACTCCTGCAAGTGCCAGTCTGGCCCCTAGGTGCAGAGGCAGATTCCTGCTGACCACGGGGCCCCTCTCCATCTTGAGCCCCCCTGTAGCTACTGCCGCTACCGAAGACGTTGCGGGGGGCATCCCGGCTTCTTCCCAAACCACTGACCCATGCTGAAATATTGAAATGTTCAAAACACCATTCTTATTCTTTAATCCCCGTCGCTTTTCTCCACTTTTTCTCCTGATAAGAAAATACGCTCTTACGTGATCCGTTTCAACCTGATATACCTTATGAAGTATTATGAATATTTGCTCTTCATTTATCCGCATTTTAAGTAATGTAAGTGTGATCAAAAGATCATATTTTTAAAATAAATCCTACGAAATTAAATGTTTTTTGTGAAGTTCTGTTGAGCACGAAGCATTTCTAGCTTCAAAATTCTGACCGAACAGCCTCATACTTCAAAGATTTTCATTACGCTACACCGATGATTTTTTTTGGAAGCCGGACAGAGTTGAGCATATTTTTTTTACAATGTCTGACTCTTCTTTCTGCCACCACGATTCACCACGTGTAATGCATCACATTCCTGTGATGCGAACAATTTTGAGTTCACAGTACACCGTTGTCCTAACTCTGACCATTGTAAACACACACACGTATCAAACAGGACTTCAGGCGGCAGAACCACGAATCAGACACCCGGGAAAGAACGTGAGCTGAAAAGCGGTTGACACGCCTGCTGAGTCGATTTTTGGTCACCTAATGCTTTATTCGCTCTACGAGTCTAGGTAAAAATTGGACGTATTTCTGCCAAACGGAACCATGTGCCTTATGATGTAAGCGCTAGCGTACATGTATTCCTATGGGTCTCAGGGCTCATGTCTTAATGCACATAGTTCTGGCTGGCAGAAATACGTCCATTTAAAGCACAGGATTTGAGTGAATGAAAAATGACCACTTCCGCTTTCTAACTTCACTTTTTATTCATTCTGCCGTTGTTTACATTTAAAAAAAAAAAATAGTATGTGAAGGAGAATTTTTAATTATCCACGTCCAAATGTACATATGTGTTAAATTTCACGATATTCGGACCGCGTTAAGCAGGAAGGAGCCAAGCCACATCAGTTTTCGCCAAAATTTTAGCGACCACTTAAATTAATTGAAAATGTTAAGGAATTTGCTTCACATTGTGGAGAAAAATCACTGAAGTTTGCACTAAAATCCGCACAGCCGTTCTCGTGTAAAGATTTAAATTGTCCAATTTTGGAAATAACTGATGTGGCTTGGTTCCTTTCTGCTTAACGCGGTCAATTTGTGAAGAGTTTGTCTCAAAACTCTTGATTTATTAAAATACAAAATAGAAGTTTACTTTATCAAAATGTATTTACAGATACGAAAAAGCTAGATTGTGCACATACCTACAGAGACGAACAAGCCATCAAAAGGCCAGCCTAACCTGAGGTATTCAAAAATGATAAATATCTTCAGAGCGGAGGGCTCTTATACTTGTCTCCAATCATTATCTCTGTGAACTGAGATTATATTGACGTGGCAATCTCTCTAGAGGCACACGAGGCGTCAATTAATTCCTCTCTTTGTTTTTCATCCTTGTCTTTAATGTGTTCAGTGATAAGGCGTGTTCAATTCAACCGAACAATTGTCTTTTAATGTGTCCTCATTTCCTCTACACTACATGGATGTCATTATCTTCTGGGTGATTTCACGATAGAGGAATAGTCGTGTCACCGTTGGTTATAACAATTTTGGGCAAAACGATTAAAAATCAAGTTGATGTAAATCAATACGAATGACACCTTAGAACTTATTCATGTTAAAAAAATATGATAAATTATTATATTAAATAAAATGAGACTTTAAAGGCCAAAAATGTCCGGTCGGTTACGCGTCACCAAACTCGATTTCAAAGCAAAATAGCAATTTGCGGTAAAAAATCAGTATTGATCATAAAGAATTGCCGTTGAGTAGTTTTCCATTTATAAAATAAAGTAAGAAAGGAAGTCTGCGACGTCGCAAACCGACTTACGTGATTGCCGACTTACACCGTCGATTTGCCGTGGACAGTTACATTCCTTTACAATATTCCCCCAGAGTTCAAATATCAACGCAGGGTGAGCTTTCCAGAGAATTTGAATGTGGTCAGATACGTGGCTTCTCTTCCGAGTGGTCTGGATCTTGCTCTTCCTGGTTGGGTTGGGAACATCCGGGGACCCATCAGCCACGACCAAACCGATGGTTCCGCCTCAAACTCTCAGAACTCAAAAGGAAATAGAGGCGGCTATGGTTAAGAGTGAGATCATACCTGACCTCTTTCTCGAAGCACCTAAAAAACTTCAGGCAGTACTTGTAAGTATTACTAAGACGTTACCTACGAGAAAAAACACTAAGAAATGGCCCAAACTGTGTGCACCAAGGTGGTGAGATGGTGCAGGGTCCACACATTTCGAGGGGAAAACAGAGCCAACAAGCTCAAAAAATTTCCATTAGAGTCAAAAATTGTTGAGCTCTAATGAGTACTAGTCCACTCTCCCCTTTCAGTCTTGTACTGCGGCGCTCATTAGAGCTTAACATTTTTTACTCTAATTGAAATTGTTTGAAATGTTTGCCTTTGTTTCCCCCATGAAATGGTGTGGACCCAGCACCAACGCACCACCTTGGTAAGACGTTACCTTATTTACTTGGTACTAGATCATGATCGCACCTGCGTTCTGTGCTATTCGCACTATCGCCGATTTCTTATCACCATTCGCCCCTTCTTTTGGGAAAATTTCTCGAATATTTTCTTAATGAAGTATAACGCCAATAAAATGTTCTCGTATACGTAATATATGAGCGATCATAACCCTCGGTAATCATGCCGCAAGTAATTAGCGATCGCCGGCGGTTATCTATCTAATCTATTTGATCTATTTATGTCGAATAGAAAAATGTAAACATTAAGAGGTAAACAAGAAAAGAAGTAATCATCATAATGCTAAGAATGTAAACATACGTTTTCTTCTTGAATGCATCATAACAGTAACCTATTCGCATGCGTGTGTAGTGAAATCAATGCCTTCAATTGGGTTTCGTTCGGATAGGCAACTAAACTATCTGTCTGGCAAAGCGGAGAGTATCTCTGGGGTTTGAAGGCGCTCCGTAAGCCGATGTCGTTCTTTGAAAGTTCTTAGCAAATGCAACCTGTACTCTTTCAATGAGAAATATTGCAATTCGACGAAGTGCAACGTATGCAGCTAGCAAATTTCTGGCAATGGCGGACTGTCTGAAACAAGTACACCATAAAATTTAATCAGAAAAATCCCAAATTTCCTCGACATCGTTTGTTATTCCTTGAGACGATGTTTTAGGAGGTAGATAATGATAATTCTGCTATCTTGCTCTCTCTGTATTCTTCCGAACGGTATAAAAAAGAGAAAAGTGTGATTTTTTAACGTTTACACGTAGCGCTTCAAAGTTTTTTAAACGATGCATGAGTCCATAAAAACTGACATATTGAACTGAAAATAATATACCACATGATACAACATGAATGTAACAAAGTGAGCTCAATGTAAAATCAATCATTCCAAGTCCTTGAAAAAGAAGTTTAGTAACAAAGTATTACAATAAAATAATCGAAATCGTGAATTTTCTCACTTTATGTCAACATATCATGGTGCTTGGTTATAGGTGGAATTTGAAGGAAACTCTACCGCTGATTTAGGAAATCATCTGCCACTTCGAGATTTAAAGCATCAAATAATACCATTCATCCAGTGGAGGGCAAATGAAACGGATTATCACACTTTGATGATACTTAGTAAGGATTGTCATTTTGATCATTTAGTATTCTGTATTTTTTTTTATTAGTTCAGGGGTTAAAGTCGTGCTCAAATGTCTATGGCCTATTTGTAAGGTCTTTCCCTCCCTTACAACTCTCGCGTCATTTTTTTTTATCCAATTTCTGAAAAAAATGTGCCCAAAGATCCCTTTCGCCAAAGAAATTTATGGACCTTTTTTTCTTAAGACACATATATTGCTAGGACTTAGCCAATTTCTCTTTTTTTAAGCAAATCCTTACATATGATCACAAATCCTCCAAAAATGTCGTTACATTTCCCTCGTGCTCAAAGATTTTCTGGACAAGGACTTTATTGTACTCTCTCCATTGAGAGTTTACATGAATTGATTGAAATGTCATTTTACTTGCAAGTTTATTTCATTATTATTTTGTTTTCGTTTGCCACTGTACACGAGGACGTTCTGACTGTGCTGAGCTGCTTTTAACCTTCATGCAGGAACAGTGGCACAGACTGGGAGGGGGGAGGGGGTCTGGACCCCCCCCCCCCCCCCTTGGACTCGTTATTGTGCATTTTTTTTACTTTTGGAGGGCAGACATAAAATATTATCATGGACGTACACAAAATAACGTAAATTTACCCTTACGTTTCTGAATGGACCCCCTCCCCTTAAAGAATTCCTATCTAAGCCACTGTACAGGAGCAAACAATGCTCCTACGTATGTTGGCTATTTTTGGTTTTGGCGGCCAAATGTTGGTAGTTTCACTCCCACTTACTTGAGAGGTGACTCGTCAAAGCCTAGGATATCTATTATGAGAAACCAAGGCAGGGTTCGGTTTTTTTTTTGTATTAATTTTGTTTAATATTTTTTCTCAGATCTTGATGTTCCCACAAGAGAAAAACCATCACAGCGCGAGATGTGACACAGCGGATTGTCTGGCTTAGGGTGAACATTCCAGGGTGCCATGTCATGCGTGGTCACCAAATAATCGAATATGAAGTGCCCAATCCAGAGGAAGACACAGGTGAAGAATTATATTGAGCGGCTGGAATCAAAAGCCTCGACCATGTATTGCAGTGCGCCGGGCAATGACTCTTCTCTGTGAAAGAAGTCGTAAACATGTTCAACAAATTAAGGGATAAAGAATTCAGACCGAAAATTTGGTCTATACCCCTCTCAATGTTTGTATCATTCGTAGATGTTTTGCGAACAAACTAAAATGAGTTCAGAAAGTATATTTGATAGGCTTGGAGGACAAGGTTCACAAGTGCATGTAGTTTTTGCCATTTCGAGAATAATGTGTATGTAGTTTCGAAATTACATGGATCCTTGTGGCGGAAAGGAAGTTCAAACTGACTTTTTGATGCGTAAAAATTGGAACTTGGGAGTGAATTTTTGACAGAATATGTATGAATCTTAATTGAATCATTTGAATCATCAATTGAATCACTGGTTTTACTTAGAATCATCAATATCTCAATTTTTTTAAAAACTGCACTTATTTGCCTTGTCCTCTAAGCACCTTATTTGCTATGTTAAGCTTCTAAAGAGATAGAGTAGTGTAAAATCTGGAATAAAAATACATAAAAATGATGGCAACCAAGGTAAAAATCATTCAGAGTTTTAAAAGGCCAGCTAAAAAATGCAGAAGTTTAAAAGGCCAAATTCAAAGACTTCCATTAAATTGTACATATTTGTACAAACGTAAAAGTAAGAACACGCTAATTTAATCGGCTAACAAGGCTTTCCATACAAATAGTTTTGCTCATTAACTGCGCATATTATGTATTTGTATTACAAATGTAATACATTCGAAGACCTTTCTCACCTTCACAAAGTAGGCATGCCGTTTTATAAGCAATAAAATTTTTCCTCAGATGAAAATCTTTTGAGTATTTGCAAATACTTAACTGAGCATCTCAATTAACTCTTTTCACAATTTGCAGGATCTCATCGATATGTTGCTCTTGTTTATTACCAGAAACAAGGCAAGCAAAAGTTTCGTGAGTTCGGACTCAACATCGTACCTGGTAACCTGTAAGTTTTTCCGTTCATCTTCTTTCAAAAAATTATAATACTTGATTATATTTCATTTATTAAATTACAACCTGACTGACGGTGCTTTATCACTCAAGCTTAAGATAAGCTGCATTTAGTTTTGACCACATTAAAGAGAAAACTTTTGTAATATAGTCTGAATCTGCAACCGTCTCTGTATTGGATGACTTAATTGTTTTCAGTTTTCATATAGTCCACTAAGATTTTGCTAACTTATCTAAGTGCAAAAAAAGTCATTGTAAGGACGCTTCCCAACAGAATATTTTTACTTGTATTTTGAGTTGTGCTAATAGAAAGCCACAGAACTAATCTGCCGTGCTAAGGAAGAACGCCGTATGAACATTCGAGAGTTGCCAAATTTCCTCCGATAAAATGCTCATTTTTTAGAAGAGCTGTGAATATTTTCTCTTGAGATATTCAGATGATTTAGATCTAGTTGCGAGTGAAATTCTCTGCAAAATTGGGGGGAGAATCTCCACAAATTTCCCTATAAATTCGTATCTTATCCAAGAAAATTGGCAGCGTCTGAAGGCTCATACGGCGTTCTTCCTTAGCACGGCGGCACGACTGTAATTACCATTTAAACAATCGAAGCAAACATGTTTACAAGTTGGCGTTTACAAGTCCATCTTTTCCCATTAACTCTTTATTATTATTATTATTTTTTAAGTTTTTCCACGCCTTAAAGACGGTAACTTTTTTTCTCCCCTCCCTTTTTTTATTTTTCCCATTACTCCCCATCCCCTCTAATGGTCAATTTACCAAAAGTGTACCTCACTTCTCAGGTAACTTAGTCCATCACCTTTCTGAAAATATAAGCGGTCCTCAAAAGAATTAACAGTCTTTTGAGGAGCGTTCATGCAATGCCTACCCGGAATCTCTGAAACGGCTCTAGCTGCACTTTCAGAAATTGTGCCTGTTGCTCCAATTATTATCGAAACAATAATGTTTTCATGCCCCACATTCTTCGTATTTCCATTGCCAGGTTTTTGTACTTTCTTCGTTCTTCAGTTTCTTTCTGAAGTATGTTGTAGTAATAAGTGATAGCAACATTTATAATGAGAAAGGTTTTCTCCCTTTTGTTCTTTACTATAATATCAAATATATCTGGCTTATTCTCTGGAACGTATCTATTGTTATTATTAATCTGCTAATTTTGTATTCTCTTACAATTAGACCGCAGGAGTGTATTCGGCAAAAATTTCAGTCTCGGTTTTTTGCAGCTGATTACGACTTAGATGGACCAACTGGCATAAATTTCTGGGAAACTCAATGGGAGGAGATAATATAAGCTCTGCAAACTTTGAACCTCAATCGATATGAAAGTTTTAATGGATATATCTGTTATTAAATTGTAATAAGTCATTGATTGATGTTATATCTTATTTTTATAATCAATTCGTTACGTATCTCCCGGCATTTTCTTGTGTATTATATGTATGAAATCAAAAAACTCCATTTTTTATTTTTTTTTTATTATAGTGGGATGGTAAATGTGAATATTTAAGCATTGGCACAGAATTATATGGGGAAGTTTTATTCGAGAGTCGAAAATTATCCTACCAGTTGCACTGGAAGTAACTCTTACAGTGGCAAGTCGCAAATGATAGATAATCGGTGTTTCCCCATTTGTAGCTGTGGAAAAGAATCGATGGCTAAGGTGTCCGTTGCGCAGACCCTATTTATCGATTCTTTTTCACAGGTTTAAATGACAGATCAATCGATATATTGCAAAGCACGCCTTGCCTCTGAGCTCGTGAACTGAAGAGTTTGGCTCGCTCCAAAAGTTAATCGCGAAGCAAGTAACGGAGACTCCAAGGGGCGAAGCCTCCAGCCGGTTGCGTAAGAGAGCGTACTAAAAAGTATGAAAAAAGTTATTTATCATTTTTAATTCTGAAATATTGAGGTGAGACGCTGTTTGATATCCTTATTCCTGACCTTTCCATAGACCTGATCTATTCGTTAGACCTGATTCCATATAAGGCGTGATTTTATAATTTACGACTTATTCTTACATGGAATCAACTCTTATCACTGGAGGGGCAGTTGCTGAGGCATAGTTGACGAAATATTCTGAAATTCACCCTTAAAGTGAAAATTCAAGTATTTGGACAATTGCACCTGCTGAAATAGAGTGGGGGAGCAAGATTAGTAAACTGAAATATTCTTCTTATCTATTCATGCACTACAAGATCCGAAGGATGTTTTTATCAAATTAATAAAGAAGCAAGAACAAAAATTGGCGTTTTTACAATTTATTTTTTTTTATTTTTTTTAACAATTGCATATTGGTATCTTAAAAAATTCTCTGGAGATACATTAGAAGGTGATTGGGATTCTTATGGAATATCTATTGGGAAATCTGGCCAAGTAGTAAAATAAAACCTTCAGATTTGGTTACTGTTGAAACTTACACCATAACTTTCAAAGTGAATGAGAAAACTGCCACCACATATGATAAATTAGCAGCATTAATTTTCACAGTTTTTATATCTTACAGAAGTGGAGCTGCTGCTCAAGACCAAAACGAATACATATCTACTATAGTGTTGAAACAGCAACAAAATTGATTAGGACGGAGCCTTATAACGAAAAAGCTTTTGACGCATCAGAGGAAACAAGAAGAAAAGCTTGGTCAAATAATTTGACTTTTAGGAAATTAGCCGCCATGCTAGATATGTATTACAACAAATTTCCAAATTCAAAGTATGCCAATACTAGGATGGGTACTTTAGTATCTAGATACAGAGATTCGGGGATATTAGCTTCATTAAAAGAACTTAAAAAATACACTAGAGCTAGCAATACGACAGATGCTTTAGAGTTTATATTTGATTACAATACGGCACCTGATTTAGATAGAATTTATTATGGAAATGAAGAAATAGATATGAGATATTCTTATTTTCCTTATGCAATTGATTTTGGATTGGTGGATCGATCCCCATACTCTACAAAAACCAATTCAACTTTCTACAACTACATAAACTTGATGGGTGTTTTTCTTTCAAATACCCGTGCCATAAATGCTAGATTATTTGAGGACACAGGTGTTGCTAGTGTTATGCCAATTGTGGCTTATGTTGCCCATACACTAACTGCTATACTAGCAGTGGCAAGAGTTTTTGCTACAGATCAGACTGTTGAAAAAGATATTAACTTGAAAAATATAGAAGACAAGACAGAAGTTGAAATAGATATAAATAGAAGATGGAATGCAAAATGGGAGCAAGAAGGCAAAGAAAACAGGGATATCTGGATGCTCAAATTACTACCGTCTCTTCAACCATGGATTGAAAGAACACATGGAGAAACCGACTTTTATCTTTCGCAATTCTTTTCTGGTCATGGTTCTTTCAATTCCTATCTTTCTAAATTTAAACTTGCCCCCTCCCCTTTATGTGTCCTATGCCTGTCTGCTCCGGATACGCCGGAGCATACTTTCTTCGGCTGCACACACATAAAGGAACAAAATGATAAACTAAAAAACGATCTTCACTTAGAAACAGATATAAATGCTAATAATGTCATGGAATTAATGTTAGAATCAATAGAAAATTGAAACACAATCAAAGCTTATATAACTAAAATTCTCAAAAACAATAAAGCACATTACCAATCCAACTCAACACCTAGTGTTGCAGCCGGAGAAAAATCCCCCAACAGGGATGATTCCGGCACTATCCGGGCAGACATGCAGCCGTGAGTTTGGTTTAGTTGGTCGGCTCGCCCTTCATCGGCCCCCGATCACCCTTTGCCAACTCCTGATCAGAGTATTTCTTAACTTCAGAGCCTAAACCAACATATGATAGTTTAACCATCTAGATGACCACCTGGCCGAAACCCAAACCATGTTGGGAGTGGTAGTGCGAAACAGGTGGAAATCGAAATCCCCGACTTTGTGTAACACAGCCGGTGAAGTAAAATGCTTAAATTGTCATATCTTCCGAAAAGATTCGCCACTTTTTCTCCCGGTAGAACTACAAAAAAAAAAAAAAAAAAAAAAAAAAAAAAAAAAAAAAAAAAACTTGAAAAATTTCCATGCAAAGAATTGCAAGATATATATTCGAATTTTAAAAGGAGACTCAAAGGAGAATCGCTTGAAGCGAGCCCGGGCGATGACGTATTTGAAGTATCGCCTGAAGTCGAAATACTTCAGCAAAGTTTCCGTCTTTTCTTTAAAATCGGATCGGAAACCTACGGCCAGCATGATATTCTCCTCTGTTAATTTCTTCAGGATTTCAGACACCTCGGGGTAAGGTTTCAGCACCGCACCCTTATCATCGGTTACAACACCGTTCTCCTCTTTCTTGAAAAGTGGGGTCACTTTCATATCCACCCAGAACGGCCACACCAAATGATCTGTTTTCAAAATAATAAGCTTTGGCCTGTCAAGTGGGTTCGGCGTGGGGGCCTCCAGATGAGCAGGAACTGAAAACACCTGAGAAAGAGTGGAAGGTACTCGAACCAACACACACATCCAGGATGTTATAGAGAGCATGATGATCAAACAAAAATCCTCACCAAAGGTTGACTCAAAGTAGCACCTTTGACGTCCGAGTGTCCAAAAATCCAAGAATCCATACGGGAGTGCAGTTGTAAAGCCAGAACAAGGAGATGCGATCGGGCCGAGGCTCCGACGAGATTGACAAAAGCTTTTAAGGAGATAAAAAAAAGGAGTAAGCGTTGAAGCCTTATCAGACAAGAAATAAAAATGGATTATTAATGATGGTAAGTAATTACGTTTCTTATCTGTCTATCTCATCTCACACTTGCTTAAAAGACATTGCCCACGACGTCAGATTTGAAAAGATTCGTGCATAACAATAAAAGGGCGATGAGTTCGGCTGAAGGCCACGTAAAACAATAATTATTGAAATAAAAGGAGAAAAAAAAAAAAATCTGAAAAGGTAAAACACAAAGTACTAAACGCCAGAAAATAAATTAGTTTTTTGATGTATAAAGGGTGACTCACTGCAACTAGAACAAAATATCAATTGAAAAATTTCACATATATAAAAAAAAATCAATTTAGAAACAAGCTGAAAATTCCAACACGAGGTGTTGGATAAGCGAGGTATGATCATGAATAATCCTAATTTAAGCGACGATTTATGGGAGGAAAAGGAAGTTTAATCGATGAGTGACAACTTGAACTTATTAATAGAGGGAAGCTATGAAGTATATGGTGCCTAATGGAAAACAGAAATATATCCATGTAAATATGAGCTGCAAAGCTAAAAATATAAACATTTGTCGCATAAAATAAAATGATATCCCAAATAATAGATGTCAAGTAAAATTTATTGACATCAATTTAAAGTTTCTGCTGTCTTCAACACTACTATCGGGAAAACGCAAGATATAATATAACGCAAACGAAGCAACGGCGTGGACTTCCTGTGAAAGGTTGGCGACAAGGGGTGGAGGAGGAGATCAGAAAGTGCCAATTGCCTGATGATCTCTAGGAGGATAGGGGGCAATAGCGATTGGGCGTCGCAGAGCGCGAGGCAGTGCTGTGAAAGCGACTTAATGTAAGTAAATGGTATAGGTATGATAGGAAAAATCAAGTAATGAGTCAAGATTGTATCGGAATTATTTTACTTGTTTATCAAGTCTTTCCTATTTCGACGGTGCAAGTCGGCAATCACATAACTCGGTTTGCGACGTTGTAGACTTCCTTTCATACTTTATTTTTTAAATGACAAAACTACTCAACGGCAATTCTTTAAAACTGTCATGATTTTTCTTCTCAATGCGAAGAAAATTCTGCAAAAACTTCAAGAAATAATGTCAATTTGTTCTCCTTTAAGAAAATGACGTAGAGGCGGAGATTTTCAGACACCGCAAACGAGTTATGTGATTGCCGACTTTCACCGTCGATTTACAACGCAAAGGAGATATTCTAAATGATAACCGTTATCTGACTGTAATTAACTGTACTAACAGGCTTATCACTCTTTAACGCCTTATAATATTACACGAAAAAGGTTTGAATCAGTTCTATTTTTGAATTAAGAGCAATAATTATAAAAAAGGCCTTAAAGGATTGACTCGCCACTCAACACAGAAAAAATTCGTTGCGATCGCTTTTCCAAAATACATCTTCTTGGCAAATTCCTCAGAATTGAACTGTCGGAGTGGGTCGGTTTCGCTGTAAAAAAATAAGTTTGTCAGTCACATTGTAACTTAGAGAGCTCTTTGTACTATTCTGCACTGAAATATTTGTTACATGTATACACAGAAGTAATTGCAAAAATGAATCTTTTTATAGATTTTCTTTTATGATTGCAAATTCTTTTGGAATGTCAATATAACCTGATCCAAAAAATCTTACTTGAAAAAGGAAAAAAATGAATTAAATATTACTCACCATAATATTGTGCTATAAAACGGGCGTCATCACATGTTTTTGAAAAAAATATCTCTTGCATGTATTTTTCCCTTTTTATTTTTCTCTCTCTACATCTCGAGCTGACATCCCGCTAGCTAGACTTTGAAGTTCAACCGCGAGGAAATTTTTTTTTCAAAAAATAAGACATAAAATCATAATATGATTGTTGATTCGTTGATCATTTTACTGTTTTCTAAAAATCTATTTTGATATTTATGATAAATTTCAATGCCACGGTAAGTAACATAGAAAAAATTAGTTATGCAAAACTGTTGGAAGAAAAGCATGACGTGTTGCTGTCCATGGTAATTTCGAAAATTCAATACTCGTAATGACATTTCCTATTCCAAAAATTTCATACAAAAACAGGTTTGTTTAGCAGAGCAGTGAGTGTTGAAAATCTTGAAACACTTCAATATCAGGTAAAAATACTTACGTTGCATTTAGCTTCGGAATATTATACTTTGTTTTGCCCATTGTCTGTTCATACACAAAAAAAGCGTATCTATGATATCCTGTGAAATTAACGAGGATATAAACCAATTAATTTTCATCTCCATGCAATAGTTACTTTTAATTTTTGATGATTTGATAAAAGTTTAATCTTGTATAGCCTTGTTTTTTTGGATACATCAGAAACAATGCACGTTAAAATAATATGCGACTCGAAATGTGCTCAAAAGGTCCGTGGGGGAGGCTCTAGAATCTAGATCTAAATTTTAAATATTGCAATCGAAGCTAATCTAATATTGAAGAGAGGAAGAGTCTGCACTTTCTATTTTTTAAAAATAAGAATACTGTTTCTGTTACTTCTGCCATTTTCAAGGGTGGAATTTGTGACTATATGATAAGCTATTGTTATTTCCGTTCAAAATAATCCTTTGGCTGTATTTTGTATTTTATTAAGTTTTATAAATTAAATTAATTTTTTAAAATTATCTCTTGCACTTGAGTGATACAAAACATCTGTTCATACTTCCTTTGAATGTTTAGTGCGTATGTTAAATTTTTTGGTTAATACCTTTCCCTTTTGGTGGAGCGGGTCCTATGTAGTCTGCTAGTCTCTTCCCGTGCAATATAGCCCTGCCATCAGCGACATGCTTTCCTGGAATATTCACCACTAACCAGTGCATGAACTCTTTCTTTATTGGTAGTCCATTTACTAAAGTGTCTGGACCTGAAAGAATATAGAGGACAACCAGAGAAAGATCGGTGAGTTGACAATTGAATCAAACCCTCCATTATGAATTATAAATTGTAAACAAAAAGGAATACAGAGATTATGTTGCATGTCACATTATCTATCGTGAACTATGTGAACGTATAACTTTCGGTATAAAAAACATACAAGTCGAAGTACAACGAGTATTTATTCGATTCCTTTTTACTTCTAAAAAATGGCCTCTATAATATATGAATGAGAGTAATCAAAGTGCGGAAGGATAATATGACAACACAGCGTAAGTAACCTGGTAATCCTATATACATACTTTCTGAAAAAAGACGGAGAATTCCAAATTCATGTTCCTCTGGGTAATCTTCATTATTCTAACATTACTTTGTTTCCGAATATCTTCGTGAATTGAATTTAATGCATGCAGAAAGATACAAGACTTATTGTTCTTTTATAGTCTTTAAGTAGTTACGAAATTTTAAACAAAATTTGTGGGTCGAAGGGGTAAAATTGCAAAAAATTGTAGATTTTACCAGGCATCGTCAATAAAATTTCAGACCAAGTTAAAGGGAGCCAAAACCCTCCTTATCACCGTCAGTGGCGTGGCGTGCTTTGCGATATATCGATTGCTCTGCAATTTAAACCCGTGGAAAAGGATCGATAGACAGAATGTTCGCAGCGAACACCTTAATAATCGATTCTTTACCACAGCTTCAAATGGGGAAATATCGATAATCGATCATTCACGTCTCGCCACTGAACACCGTACTCCTTGAACCCTTAGCCGTCCTAATCCTCGGTAAAGCTTGCCTAACCTCTTGCAACCTAATGCTCTTATAATAATTGACAACAGGTCAACAAAAAACATCTGATAGTCTCAGTATCATGCTTTACGGTACCTGTCCCTAATATGGCATAATACGAGTCATTTTTGCAAGGCCACTTTATGAGCCAAGGAGGATACAGAACGTCTAGTCCGCTTAAGTCATTGCCAATATCCGCGATAAAGTCATCTATGAACTCCATCTGTAAGAAAACTCCACACGTAATGAAAGATTAGGCCTGTGATCAATCGTAATAGGTATTCATAAAAACAGGAATTCCGGTAAAAGTTCCAACAAACAATTAACTGAGAAGGCAGTGTACGGATGCTTCTTTTCGAAAATGATGCAAGTTTTCTCGGTTTTTCATAAATGTTTCGGACATTTTTCGTGCTGTGATCCTTAGTAATTCATGTGGCTGCCCACTTTTTCAGGATAAAAGTCGGAGGGATTTTTGATCCTCCCTGGAGGAGCCATTTCCGCCTTTTTAGATAACTCAGAAACCTTTTTCTTGAATAAATTATTCAGTTCCATATCAACATTTTTATTCTCACCCACAACATTTGCTTCGGAGCGTAGCTGATAACATCTGGTAGAAGCGAGTAATGTCTAAGTGATTCTTCGATTTCCTTCGCAGATCTAATGGGGCTGCGGACGCGGCTCTTAGGGTCAACGGTTGGGCCTAACGTCGGCTCGGGGGTGGAAATGTTTTGCGCATGATTTTCTCGACATCCGAAGCAAGTCAAAAGCAGGATTAAAAATGAATGGCACACTACCCTGATACTGTGCTCAAATCCACCCATTTTAAAATGACCTACGACTGAAAAAAGAAAAAAATGAGTTCATTTCGGAGCTCTGCGTAAGCATCATGCATGGACTATTCGATAAATTTAAAGTAAATTCCTGAGTATAATCATGTCGCGAATCCTCTCGGTTGACACCGTGACAGATAGCACCGTGGAGATATAACTGTTCAAAATTAATGGATGTCCATGTTGCATCTGCAAGATTGAAGGCGCGATGGCGCGAGGCGTGAACCTGAGGCTGCTCTGCCCTTTGCTGCCAATGAGATGTCGCTCAGATTCGAAGGAAAAGTTAAAAAACGAAGCCCGATTACGTCTCTCCGATCTTCGGCTGTGTTGTTCACGCAGCTTTTGAAGCACAACTACAACTACTAGTAAGACAAACATAAATCAACGCGGTATGGAAATGAAGCGAGGAAAATGACGCGCGTTGATGACAGCGCAGAGATACAAATATTCGTGCTTGATGGATGTCTGTGTTGCATCTGCAAAATTGAAGGCGCTATGACGAAAGACGTGAATCCTCCATGCTCCGCTCTATATGCTGCCCATAGAGCACACCACATCATTAGGTGTCTCAGATTTGTGAGAAAAGTTAAACAACAAGGCCCAAATGCGTCATCATATCGATTCATGTGTGTATTTACGCCTTTTTCCAATTTGATTTCTGATCCTTTTTAACGATGTATTTGTGGACCTAAATCTAAAGTTCGGATGTACCGGTCCCATACAACCCGCAGGTTATTTGATAACATCGGGTCAATTTGATCCGGCTTGGGAATCTAAAGGGTTAGACTTAAAAATGATAGCATATTAGCACATACGTTGTCATGTTAGGGTATGTGTGGAGGAATTGACCCGAGCCAACGAGGTTTCCTTTGAAAATGATTTTTTTATTCGATAATTTTAAGGGGGCAGTAGACCTTGTTTTATCGTCTGATGCAATTTACTCTGGCGATGAGAATGCTACCTATTTTAATTATTTTAATTCATACACGAAAGTCAGATTATTTTGAAGAAGGTAACAGTGCCCATTCTTCACATAGTGCGCACAGTGGCCAGTGAAGTCACAGGATGTTTTGCACGGTCTTGGGTACTTGAGAATGGATTTTGGGCTGAAATAGTGACAAAAACGGTTCAGCTAGATGTCGTTTGTGCGTTTTTGAAGTGGTGATTAAGAAGCAATGATCAAGACTAAAGAAGATTAATTGACAGATAAATTGCCTCTTGGTCTATGACAGTCTCCTCATCTGATAAAAATAAGGCAATCACGATGATAAATTATTCTTGCAGAGAATCTGTCATCTCATTATATACATTTTAATAAGCTTTGGAAGCCTCGGTAAAAATGATTTGCAACTTACCTGAAAGCAAGCGAGCATGCAACTACGAAGTAAAAGGTTTATTTTAATATATTTGTAACATCCTAAAAACTATAAAACATTAAAATATGCACATCAATACGTTGATTAACGTACTATTAAAGGGTCTTTTTGCGAGATACTCGCACATAGTAATTTCTTTTTAGAACAAAAAGCTGGATACTTCACGAAATGTCTAACCACAACTGGGAATTGTCTTTAGATTGACGTAGCTTTTTCAAGAGGCGCAGAGTGTCGACTGAAATATTTCTCGCCTTATTTTTTCTCCTCGCTTTGCCAGCACTTGATGATAAGGCATATCTACCCTTTAAACATTTTTTCCCTGCTATGTTCATCTTCTCTATACTACATGAGTGTCATTGTCTTCACGAGTTTTCACCATCTAACTCGAAAAAAATTACAAGCAATAGGATTTCCTAATTTGTATTTTTCGGCAAACTTCTTGTGCGACCAATTTCCTCGATCTCCGTCATCACGTCTGAAATGAAACAAAAAATAGAAGCTTTTATCTAACATTTGCTTCGGCGGAACACAGAATGCCGTCTCTTTAGAATCTTAACACGGAGCATAAAACTTCGTGCGTGGGACCCGAAGTTGAGGTCATATGGATCTCTGAAGCTTTCGGATCACGTATCTAAAAACTAGAGGTCCAGCTGCCATCTAAAGTACTTTGATATATACCGAAGGGTTCGGGTCACACATCTGAAATACTCCGATACATACCGAAGTGCCTCGATGTCTGACCCAAATTTCGGCAGCTCGACCTCAAGTTTTCGGATGCGTGATCAGAAAACTTCAGAGATCCATAGGACCTCAACTTCGGGTCCCATGCACGAATTTTTTTTCTCAGTGTATGAGTAAATTTTCATAAGGCATTTAAAAACTGTACAACCACAAGCCACCATACACTATTCTGCCAGAGGCTATCGACTGATTCCACTCAGAAGATGCTAATTCGTGTGTTTGCTAGCTAACATCCCAGTAAGTAAGATAAAATAATTCTTGCTTACCTGGTTAAAAACAAAAATTCAACACAAATATTGATTGTGACACCCGCCTATATGGATCCCAGTTGAATGATGTTAAAATGGGCCTGTTGCATGCGAGAGATACAGCCGTGCGAATAGACTTATTAGAGGTTAAATGACACGAAAATTACGATGGTCACATTAAAAAAGTCTGAAACACACTCCTTACTGCGCAAT